TTAGCTACTGATTCATCAGCCCTGTAGTCGCTCCCTTTACTGCAGGGTATTAATAAACCAATGTGTTCCTTTTCTTTTGTACGTGTTTATTGATATATCTGTACTGTAGTGTTTTCGGACGGTACTAGCTCTTACTGCCAATATAGGAGTATTACATATATTGGTAGACCATCCGATGGAAACACCCATATATTATGTACATTAGGGTAGTACTTAAATGTAGGAATCAAATTTTTACATCAGATTTCCTAAGCCTCAACACCTATGTCGATGCTAATATAGTCGAAGATATCACATATAAATGTTGGTCCTTATTTGAGACGGTTATGGCGTGTCTCACGTGCGGCAAAGTTCAGATTCCTCTATGGAGGCTCAAAAAACTAAAATAAATTTTTTTTTCACCCAGTACCAAAAATCGATAATACTTTAGTTGAAGATATCACATATAAATTCTGGCACTGATTGGAGTCGGTTAAGGCGTGTCGCACAGGGGTCATACTTCAGATTACGCTATGAAAACGTCATAACCGACTGCATTCGGGACCAAAATTTATATGTGATATCTTCGGCTTTAGTATTATCGATTTTGGGTATTAAATGAAAAAAATAATTCTAATTTTTTGAGTCTGCAGAGAGGCTTCTGGCTTTTGACCCCCTTGCGACACGTCTTAACCAACTTTAATCGGGACCAAAATTTATATGTAATATCTTCGACTTTGGTAGTATCGATTTGGGGTATTAGATGAAACAAAAAATTAATTTAAATTTTTTGAGTCTCTATAGAGGTATCTGAACTTTACCCCCCGTGCGACACGCCTTAACCAAAATTTATATGTGATATCTGTGATCGGGTATTAACGATTGAGGGGGTGAGACTGAAAAAAAGCGATCATTTTATTTTTTAAGGACCACCCTATGGTACATATAGATAAGAGATTAGACAACTATAACACAGTGGTACGAAATGAAGGTTAATACATGTCTCTGTATTTGATTGAAAGCAAAAGCAAATGAAAATTTACACCCCCCATAACCAAATCCCAAAAGAAATTTTAGCCTATAGAAATGGTTTTTATATCCGAGGTCACTTGTGCACAAGGGTATTATAACTCAGTACGCATATCGGTTGTTTGACACAGCCAAAAGGCTTTGAATTAAAAGGGAATTCGATTAAGCCATGTCTGCCTGTCCGTCCGTCTCTATCTGCGCACGTTAGCTCGAGTAAAAGTTACTATATTTATCTTAACGAAATTTGGTGTATAGGCTGCCTTTTACCCAAGGTATGTATATACATATGTACGAATGTAGGTTAGTATTGAGGTGAAACTTTTTAAATATTTAACACCATGACGAAAGACCGCGTGAGGGGGGGAGGGGAGGGTATAGCTAGGTGGACAAAATTCATTCAAGGATTTCTAGAAAAGGTTATTTTATTAACATAAATCATATCCGCAAAGTTCTGACTGAAAAGTTTTGTATGTCCTATATTCTTCTGTGGGCTGTGGCAGTGCTCAGAAATCAATTTATAATCTTACTGAAACTCGAAAATATTTTAGTTGAATTTTTGTTTGTTTTGTTGTTGTTGTACTGGGGTTATTAGTCACCCCAGTTGCAATTCACGTATCTTCTTTTTTTGTGATACTTAAATAAATCCCGTTTTTTATTCGAAAATGGCTTCGCTTTCGGTAAATCCACATTGAAATAATACAGGACTGTTAATTCAACGAAAGGTGGTGTCGACACTTTCGACTATAGTTCGGCTAGAGGTACAAGACATTAGCCGCTTTGCTACTTCTATGGTATGATTGATCAAGCTGGAATAAATTCTATGATACTTTATGTCGATAAAAAATGCCCAATACTCCAATAAGCTATTTCCGAAGTAATTACTTAAAACTGTTAGCTTTACGATTGGCGGAACCATGCGTCCTTTGACAACGAATTTGCCGCGAGAATTGGGAAATATTATGCGGGATATTCTAGACCTGGACCAAGAATCCTCCGGAAATGAACCCCCGCAAAAATTATAGAAGCAGGCAAGATGTACGCAGTGCCCAAGGTGGCAAGACAGAAAAGTTAAAACTTTATGCCAGGAACTGCACGTTCTGAAGACCGCAATGAAATTTGCCTAACTGTGTTTAGTATAAAAAAATATATCTTAACAGTATCGTAAGGAACTGAATGAATTTGTATGTGTTTTTAAATAAAATAAATAAGTCATTTTATACTAAATATGTTTAATCTTCTCAGTTTAACATTGTTTTATTTAAAATCAAAAGCTGTGGGGTGATGCATCACCCCTGTTGCTGTTTACGTAGACAAAAAAAGTGTTGCCTTCCTAAGGATAAAGGACTGGGCTTTGTTAAGACATAAAATGTAAATTTGTAGAGGGGTATTTAAATAACTTGATTCCAGCGCCATTGATGTTTTGGGTCCATTTTATTTTGCAGAAGAGCTCCTTATCAAAAACTTAATACCATTAAACTCGGTCATACGAAAAAAAAACGGATGCTCTAAATATCCCGACTCCAGCACCATCTGTCGGCAGAATTTTTTGCAAAAGTATATGTATAATATGATGCAGAGCATCCGAGCTCGTTCGGGGTAAACAAATAAAAGTATAAAACAGTAATAAAGATTTTCAGTTTACCATAAATTAAAGGAGACAAAATATTTTTCTTATTTAATTTAAGGCCTCCTTACGAACAATATTTTTAATTTTTTGTTGCGGTGTAGAAGCATCAATACTATTCGGACATCTCAATCGTGAATACTAAAGACTTTTAAATTAAAATGGAAGGTCTGTGGGAATAAATAGGCCTCCTTACAGGCGCACACCTTCTCCTTTGTCGCATCCAGTAATTAATGCGCTTGCAATTATATTGGTCATCATTTTCTTTACCAAACATCTTGTTTAATTATTAAGGTTAGGTGGATCAAGGTACCAAAGGAAGCATGAAATGCGCTTTAACTCTTAAATTCATATTCTCTGAACGTAGACGGCATGCGTGGTGCTACGAGTTCTTTCAAATTTTCATCTCTTTTTATTTACAAAAGGACATTCCGTTTAGCTGTCTGTTCGTCATGGGTCCAAGGTTATGTTTCTCTGAATCTACTACATCTATTGGAGGCGCCACGACACCTTGTCAGATCTCATTTTTTTATACCCTATGTTATGTCCGAGGTCATTGTCTAGATGCCATCTTTATAGGAAAAGTTTTGTTAAAAATAAATAGAAATGCATGGAAATTCTTTGTCATATTTTTCACAAATATTTATTATTCTATAGCTGCAATCATCAAATTGAAGGCTACACTTGTTACTATTTACCAAGGGGTACTTAATAATTATATGATGACAACTGTTCGATTTACAACAAAAATACTATAAAACAAATGATCTAAAACACTTGCTTGCTTCTTAAAAAGTACACTTTTAAGCAGTAGGAGTGAACAAAAGTATTCCACACTACTATGTTTTTAACATTTGCTCGAGTTCGAAGTTTCCATACTCGTTTGCATAAATAAAGTTTTTCCCATGGTGCTGGAAAATATAGCATTCCCAATTTCAGCAACCGCACAATTTCGCAAAATTCACAATAATTCGCACACGAGAACCAATCTGGCAAAACGGATGGTATATCGGAAATAAAACTATTTTCGGGGTTTCCCTAAATCTGTAAAAAGCCTTGAAAACTTCGAAAAACTCAAAACTTTTATTGAGAGGTAAATATTTAATTTATTTAATAGAAATGAAAAAACTCGGCTGGTTAGATAAAAAATCCGGTTTATAATCATGATTTCAAAAAAAAAACCTAAACCGGTTTGGGAAAACCGAGTCAATCAGCCTACTACTTTGTGTTTATTAAGCCCAGTGTTGCAAAGTTTTGAATTTGAAAAAGCAATAAAACCCAAGGAAAATCGCGTTTTTTCTCGAAAAACTCACCACATTTTTATTGGAGTATTTAATGGACTTTGTATGCATGAAAAATTGTATTGTAAGGATGCCGATTCAAATTAATAAAAATCAATTTATTCTGTTTTTTATAAATTCAAATATCTTCGTTCAAGTGACGCTAAGATTCATGCTCTTATTCTCTAATTTGCAGCTGTATCCAGCGTTGCCGTCTCGCTTAGATAAAGCAAAATTGATTAATTTTTCCTAACTGTTTAAATGTTATAATTTTCTTCGTTTTGCTTGCGAATTACCGAATGTCATTTTGACATGATTGGAAGTGCTGCCACATATTTTGTTGGTAAACATATCGTCGTTTGAAGTACAAAACCGCGTATCAACAAAATGCAAAACCGCGTATAAAGGTAATGCAAAACCGCGTATGTGAGATTGCATAAATTATTTTCTAGAAAGTAAAAAAACTCATATTTCAAAATGGTTATTTTTTTTATAAAGCAATCGCATTTCTGGCTAGTATATTTCAGGACGAATGGATAAGGGTTGAGCCAAGAGCTTGTTTGAGCAAATCCAATTTTTGGCAGCCAATGTCAGTTACGCGGCTGCAGAATGACGATACGCGGTTTTGTACTTTAACAGACGATATGCTCTCTCGCTTATGATTGTCATTGTGACATGATTTTGTTTAGATTTTTGTGAAGTTTCTTACAAAACTTACCATTTCTATAAGTTCAGTTCAGTTTTTCACATGCATTTTTGGACCACCCTAGTGTACACATCTTTACATTTTATTGGTAAGCGGCATATGCTTTTATGAGGTGTAGAGTAGCTTAATCATTCACATTTTTTGCAATCAGTGGCTATGATTGCAAACAGTTTATTTAACTTTTACATAACTTCTTCTTTATTGTTTCTCGCTGATGTGTGCAGCTGTTTATTCAGCTGTTTTAATGCTTTATTTGTTTATCTAAGCATTTAATTGTTTGTCTGATTTTTGGTTAACTTAAGTTTATGTACATATATGTATAAAAACACACAAATTTACTTAAGTATGTATGTACATACAAAAGCACATAATTTATGCTTACCAACTTCCGTAAGGTAGCAGATGAGAGCCAAGATCAGCAGCACCAGCAAACCTGACACACTTTTCACGCTTATCCTCATATTAAGAGTATGACGTTGTTATTACCTCTAAATATAATTTTTTAAGTCGCTTTTTGCAATTTTTCTTATTAAATTTTATTTACGAGTATGTTACTTATGCTACAACACTTCAATGGCTTCTTTTCTTGGTGCTACTTGACTACATATGTATGTATGTATGCAGGTATGTACTCGTATATTTATGTTCACTTCTGTATCTGGACTTTTAAATTTATACTCAACAATTAAGCTTAAACTGAGGATCGGCGCTGTACTGCTCGTGGCTTTTATAGTTTGTGAGCGCAGAATCTTTTCTCTATTACTCTTACGCTCCTTTCGAGCTTCTTTCAAACGTTTTTGAGCGTAAAAGTTAGTCATAGAAAAACATCTGCATTACTTGACTTAAATTTTTTCTACACGATGATTAAGTATGTACATATGTTTGTATATAGATAAATATTTTGCGCTAACACAGCTTGCAAAAAGTTTTTCTTCATCCATTTGTAGTATGAGTCTTGATTTTTGCTGGAAAAAAAATTAAGAACGTAAGAAAACGATCTACATAGGTAGAAATAAATAAAGGAAAACGATTGGCGCTACACAATTTTCGAAATCAACATAAATAAAGCTATACGGAAAATATTATGACGGGAACTAAATAAGTCTCTAGAATAGCTCAGCATAAAATAAATTTTGCCGTTAAAAATGGTCTTGTGGTTCCATAAAATATTCTTCAGCATGATTTATACTCTTTTGCATACTTTCAAACCAATTGGTGAATAAGTTTTCCGACAGTGAACTTAGTATTGGAGTGTAATGCGGTATGGTCGTTGTTCTGGGTACGCAGTGCAGTTGCACGGCTATACTCAATCCTTATTCTTGCGTCCTCGTTCGCGAACTCTGTGAAACGTGAGCAACCCATGTGCGAGATGCTGTAACCACTCCGAGTGGAGCCTTGTGTCCCAGGAGGGACCACACCGAAATATTCACTGAAGTCTGCAGCGTCTGTTCACCAGCAGGGGTGGCTGCAAGCGGGCGTCTGTCTTGGAGCAAGCGACTCTCTATATAAGCGCGTATTCGGTTAAGAAACCACCCCCTCCCAACAATGAGTTGCGCGCTGGATTTGGGACCCGACACGTAAAAACCACTTCCAGTGAAAAAGAGAGGTAAAGCCTCGATAGAGGCCCATGATGACAAGACGCCAAACCTTTAAAGGACTACGATTTGGGGGCATGCGCCTGCAATGAGTGGACCATTAAAGGGGAAGGTGCTTCTGCCCGGCTGGTTAATGTCTTCGTAATGTAAAAAGATGACATTACCGCCATCCAAGAAATGCGTTGGACGGGGCAAGGCAAGAAATGTCTAGGGCCTTGCGACACCTACTACAGCTGCTATGTAAAGGAGCGTGAATTCAGTGCTGGATTTGTGGTAGGAGAGAGACTCCGTCACCGAGTACTGCCGTTCACCCCGGTACGCGAGCATCTAGCCACAATCAGGATCAAAGCGAGATTCGTCAACATCCCCCGTATCTGCGTCCATTCCAACACAGTATAGAAAGACGAGGCGTCCAAGGATACCTCCTGTGTGCGCTTGGAGCGCTGCCCCGCCATGATATCAAAATCGTGCTCGGGATTTAAAAGCCAGGAAGGGCAAGGAAGAGATATTTGGAATCACTTTTGGAAAATTCAGCCTCCACGACTAAATTCCTGACAATGACCTTAGGCTGATGTACTTCGCCGCACCCAAAAATTATAGTATGGAGTACTAGGCTCAAGCATAAAAAGAGCCATCAGACTACGTGGCTGTCTCCAGATCGAAAAACTAGAAACCAAATCCATGCTGTGATAGACGGAAGGCACACTTCCAGTGTTTTGGATGTACGTACACTCCGAGGCCCAAACATCGGCTCAGACCACTTACTTGTTGCAGCCAAGATACGAACCCGCCTCTGAGCGCCCAAAAATGCAAGCAAAGCTTAACGTCGAAAAGCTGCAGTCACAACAGACGGCCAATGCATTCACTTCTCGACTTTGACACCTACTCTCAGAACCACAATTCGTCGTTCTTTAAGTAACGCCGCCGAAGAACTAGTCGGATTTTAGCGAGCCCGAAAGAACAGCTGGCATAGTGAGGAGTGTCAAGAAGCTGCAGAGAAATGCAAGCTATATGGGACCGCTATAGGGAACTGAAGAGGGAAGCGAGATGTATTTGTCGCAACAAGAGGGGAGAGACCGACACAAGTGAGCGCGAAGAGCTTGAAATGCTGGCCGACAGACAAATGCCCGAAAATTTTACCAGAGAGCTAGGCGACTTTCGATAGTTTTCAAGACCAGTAAGACTTGTAAGAACAACAATGGCGAACTAGTGACTGATGTCCAGAATGTACTTAAATTATGGAGGGAACACTTTTCCACCCTACTGAATGGTAGCAACGCTGAAAGCTGTGCAGAAGACGAATCCGAGCCCCCAGTCGATAATAACGTGGTTGTTGTTCCTACGCCTGACTATGATGAGTTATGAATAGCAATAGTGCGCTTGAAAAACAACAAAGCTGCTGGAGCTGGCAGCCTGCCAGCCGAGCTATTCGACTAAGGCCGCGAAGAGTTGATATGCAAAATATGGTCAGATGAACGCATGTCTGACGACTGCAATTTAAGTGTGCTCTGTCCAACTACCGCGGGATCAGCCATCTAAGCATACATTACAAGGTCTTATCGACCATATGGTTTGAAAAACTGAGGCCCACCGTCAACGAACTGTTTGGGCCTTATCAGTGTGGATTTAAACCTGACAAGTCCACCATATATCAGGTGGCATAATACGCCAAAACTTTGAAAAGACCTACGAGGAAAGGATCAACTCACCACCTAGTTGTCGACTTCAAAGCCGCATTCGAAATCACTAAAAGCAGTTGCCTGTATGCCGATATGTATTAATTTGGCATCCCCGTTAAACTGATACGACTGTGTAAAACGACTTTGGAAAATACTACCAGCTCCGCCAGAATTGGTAAATACCTCTCCGAGCCGTTTGCTACCAAACGGGGTTCCAGACATGGCGACTCCCTTCCATGTGATTTCTTTAATCTGATGTGTGGGAAGCTACTAAGAGCTAGTGAACTGTACCGCACAGGAACAATTTACTATAATGTCGACATCATTCGTAATAAAAACCGCGAAGTCTGTTCCGCCTAGTAAGACAAGGAAGCAAAGCGATTGGGCCTGGTTGTCAACGAAGTATCTTATGTCATCAACCAAACGGTCAGCGCATACGCGCCTAGGCACTCACGTCACTGTTGGCAGTTATAATTTCGAAAAGGTAGAGAATTCCGTTTACTTAGAAACCAGCATTAATGTGAGCATCGAAATCCAAATCAGACTGGACTGAGTAGATAACTAACGAGTAGAATCCTCTCTCTACGTACGAAAACCACACTCTATAAGTCACTCATAATGCCCGTGCTGTTATATGGCACAGCAGTATGGAGCATTGGAGTATTCCAGAGAAAGATTTTGCGGAAAATGTATGGGTCTTTACGCATTGGCGAGTACCGCAGACTATAGAACTATGACCTGTATGAGCTTTACAACGACATGGACATAGTGCAGCGAATCAAAATACAGCGGATCCGCTGGCTTGGCCATGTCCTTCGAATAGACACCGATGCTACAGCGCTGAGAGTATTCAATTCGGAACCCGCTGGTGGTCAGTTGGCACGGAAGAGAAACGACTGGCGTGTTTTGCTGAACTCGTACAAATCGCTTAGGCGGTTACAGCGAAGAAGAAGATATGTATGGAGAAGTATAACAAAAATATGCTCTGGACCCGGGAGCTCGGGTACACATCTATTTAAGAAATTCTTCCAGAAATCGAACGAAGTAGATATATATTTATGTAGCTGTACTTATCCATATACATACATACATATGCATATGGGTATCTATGCAGCAAAATGATTCGAAGCGACAATATAATATCCATGGCCAAAAATATTTCTAAAACAAAAGTTAACTACCCAGAAGAAGTAATTTCAGATTCTGCTGGCGGTTCCGCAACTTAGTTTCTCTGCGCGAAATTTTCTTAGCAGATTATGTATTTACACTCAAATGCACAACTCTACGTACACAAACGTGAGAAATTGTCTCTCAAGCTTTAGATTCCCTCTATTTATGTTACATAATGTATTTGTTGAATTTGCACTTGTGCACTTCAGCAAATTTATATTTGTTGTATTGATTTGACGAACTTTTGTCATATGAGTACTCTTGAGCCACTTCCCCCTACAGCTCAGATGATTTCCTTTAAATTTATTTTTAACAGAGCCGTAGTGCCAAATCGATGTTTGCCTTGTTACTGTTTTGGATTTAACACACATGGATACAAAACAGTGTTGTGCAAAGTTTTAGCAATATTCGCTATTATGACACATGTACATGGGTGCGACAAAAAATTTGGTATTTTTGTTGCTCGTACCAAAATATTTCGCCTCAAATTGATGTCGTTCGCGAGCCATAAAGCATACATGGCACTGAAGATTATGCAGAGCCCGGCCGTGCGGAAAATGTATCTAAAGAAAGTCTCGTAGCAGTTTTCGGGTCTCCAGTTTGTCCTTTCCAAGTGTTGAAATAATTCAAAAAGAAGAGATTAGGGTTAAAAAAATATCTTCGAAAGTAGGTTAATAGGATAGTTCTGGCAATTGTATCCCAACTCACCACAGTCTTTCGAAACATAAAACTCTTACCTAAGACAATTGTCAATTCTGGCGACTATCTCCGAAACTCTTTTCTGTCTTTCGAAAGACTAATTGCAAGATCTGCTAACGAGGATGTCTTAGCGTTATTCTGTAGGCCTTTTAGCAATAAATTTTCTAAAAATTAAATTAAATAAAAAAGTTATTATTTCCTTTTGAAAACAATACAACCAAAAATTTAAAGAAAATTAATTTAAAAAGGCAAAAATAAGTTTCTGAAAGTTAGATGAAATTCAAAAAATATGTATATTTTTACAAGCTTTTATTAAGTTTCCGTGTTTAATGAAATCTTGCAATTAATGTTTAACCAACTTCCCGATTAGCTAGAGACTTGGAACTTTAGTTCTCTCTAGGTGGCGCAGGTGTTGAGATATTTGAAAACCGCCTATTTATGGTCGGATATTGATCATATTTGGATGTACATACATATATCAGTTACATGAAAAGGAACAACTAGTAAAAACTTGTCTCAAATGCTTTTAAATTAGTTGCTAATTATAAGCAATTAAATTTAAAAATTCAAAGCAAATTAAATTAAAGTAGCCGGAATTGCCCTGTAAAAGTTGTAATTTTTTCTCTCATGAATGTATGCACATTTAAACTTAC